GGCGAACGCGGCGCTTCGCTCGCTTTTCCTTTGTTCGGGGACGTTTTGGCGTCGCCGGGATTCGTGATGCTCCTTGGAAAGGGCTCCCGGTGCCGGCTGGAGCAGAGCGGAGGGATCGGAAGCTGCGGGGAGGAAAGAAACCCCAGAACCAGGCATGTTTTAGCCAAAACGTTGAGAAATTTGATTTCAGGTTTGTTTAAGGTTTAGTTACGGAGCGGATCCCGGGAGCGGCGGCTGGGAAAGCCGGAATGCGTGTGCCTGGAGTTACACAGGCGAGAACCTCTTGGGTTTTTCCCCACCAGCTCTGATTTCTTTCAGTTTGAGCCCGAATTACGAGTCAGCACCAAAACCACCTTCTGATCCAACGTTTTGAAGGACCCTTTGTGTTACCCCCTTGTTCTTGCACCAAGGGGAATGTGGACAGTCTGTGTGTGGATGGGCCCCGTGTCTTGGGGTCCCCTGTCCCTGAGGGACTGTCCCCCTGCCTGTGCTCATGTCCCCCTGGGAAGGCAGCGCCGCCGCGGCTTCCAGCCTGGAAAACTCAGATTTACTCCCTAAAGCACCAGAGCCGTAAATAAGCGTCGGAAAAGGGTGTCACGCCTGAGCGGATTCACGGGAACAGGTGGCTTTTGGGTGGGTTGGGGTTCTGGATGGTTTAAAGAGAGAGGAAGGGAAGGGGAAAAGGGCAGGAACGCGCTGGTGCTGCTGCAGCGTTTTCTAGAAGCAGCCCGATGCTGCTGGATGCATAAAAATCCTGCGGTACGGCCGCGCCGTGCCCTCGGCCGCCGTTTGTCGCAGTCTATTAGGAGAGACGCAATCCATCCTCGGGGTTTATGGTTATTTGCTTTAACCCCATCCCTGCCTCTCCCCCCCTTTCCCTCATCCCGGCGCGTGGGGCTGGCGCAGCCCTTCGTCCCTTTGTCTGGGTTTCGGCGCCGGCCCCGCGCACACCCAGCCCGGGCGTGAAGCCCCCCACCCTAAAGCCCTGAAGTGGGATTTTTATCCTCCCTGAACCCTCCCTAAAAGGTGGGGTTTTGTCCTCCAGTTCTCCCTGCAGGTGGAATTTTGGCGGCGGGTGAGATGCACCCCCTGCTCTGCGGGATCAGCGGCCGCTCCGTCCTGCTCCATAAACCCACGGCCTGAATCGCCTGTGCTCTGCCTCACACCATCCCAAAAAAGTTGCCTGACCCCCAGTAGCACCTAATTCCCTGCTCCATCAGCCGGCAGTAGAGCGGGGATGTTGCCCAGCAGCGCGGGTCTGCATTTCCATCGTGCAGCCGCCGTGCCGCTCCGGCACTTAAAAACCTGGATTATTAAAAAATAGCTGCCCCTCGTTCCGTCCCGTCCCATTCCCCAGAAGCCTCGTTAATGGCTTTTCATTTTGAACCCCCTGTTCGCACACCCCTTCCCCAGCTCCCAACCCTCAGCAGCGATCGCGTTACGGCCCCGCCGTCCTTCCCTCCCCCCTTCCACCGCAGGACGGACCCGTAAAACACCAAATGCATTTATTCACCATTTTTCTAAATTGTTTCATTTCAGAGGTTCACAAACGAGGACCACCTGGCGGTTCATAAACACAAGCATGAGATGACATTGAAATTCGGCCCCGCTCGCACCGACTCCGTCATCATCGCAGGTATGTGCCCGGCCAGCGCCCAGCGCCGCGGTCGCGGGGCCTGACGGCAGAGATTGATGCCAGGGACCAGATGCACTGCAAAAAACGGCTCTGCCGCCCATAAAACCTCCTGTGATCTGCATTTAATCAGGGGAAAGGAAAGCCAGAGGCTTCCAAGTTTCTTTTTTTTTTTTTTTTTTTTTTTTTTTTTTTTTTTTTTTTTTTAGCTCTCGCCCTTTTTTATTAAGACTGGAGGATTTATGGCCAGAAGGTCTTTCACATTTCTTCATGTGCTTTGAGGACGATGAACCAAACCTGACAAAGCAGCTTCCCCTCTCAGCCCAGGTGTCAATTTTCCTGAGCTTTTAGGCTGCAGTTAATAAATTAAAGCCCCATCAGGTGCACTGGCTCTGCCGAAAAGGCGTTTTGCAGAGCCCCAGTGAGGAGCTCTGACAGCACATGGTCAAAGCAGCCTTTATAAAACTGGGGGGAAAAAACCAAACCCCACAGATTGTTGTCTGGCAGCAGCTCCTGGCAGGTTCCAGAGTCCCTCCTGCCCCGTTCGGGGGCTGCTCAAAGCATCGTGTGAGAGGTTTGTGTTGCTGCTGGGTGAAAAGGATGTTGCTGAAAGCAGGGAGAGGGAAAATGCTTCCTGAAGGCTTCAGAGTTCATAAGGGGAAATGAAGCTGCCGCAGCAGCCTGGCAGCCTTTTCCCAGTGTATCTCCAGCCCAAATCCAGTGTTGAAATGGGAATTTAGTTGGTTTCTGGAAGGCTTTGAATGAATTGTTGCTGGAAGAATAGGGTAGGATGGGAAGAGAGCTCACACAGCCTTTGGTGGAAGGGCAGGGAGCTGCTCCCAGGGGAGGGCTCTCCCAGAGGGAGAATTCATTCCAAATGGGATCAGGCTAATGGGAGCTGATGGCAAGGAATTGGGGCAGAAGCTCACAGAAACTCAGATTCCTAAAGGTCACCTTTGCTTCAGTTCAGCCCTTTCCAAACAGGGAGCACAGCGGGAGGGTCGGTGCTGCTGGATCAGTTTAGGGGGTAGATTGGGCAGGTGGGGATGGGGGGGGCCAGAAATGGGGCCTGGCCTCACCCCCAGCCAAAATCCCACATGACACCCCAAAATCCCACACATGACACCCCTCATCCTCACAGCTCCCAGAGCTGGTGGTTCCTTTCTCAGGTAGATATTGGGGGGATGAAACACTTCAGCTTTAGCACAAGGAACAAGGTCTGGCCTCCTCTTCCAGCTCCCCCAGGGCTGATGCTCAGGG